GAGTGAACCAACAGCTATATTCCTAGAGTGGGGTTTTAAAGATCTCTAGTGTTGAGGCTTAGGGCCTGTAGCCTGTAGCTATGTACTGTAAGAGGAAGTGTAGACCAGGAGCAAGCCAGCAATTGTATTTCTCTGATTCTGGAGCATGGATGAAGCAGGATGTTAGTTGAGGTCTGCAGATGAGTATGGGACAAGGAGTCTAAACCAGAGTTGAGCTTATGATTTTGTCACTCTGACCCTAGAACAGAGAAGCAAATTTAATCCCCTGACGCAGTAGACTACAACTGACTAACTAGGGTTAGCAGTATGGAATAGAATTGAATTTAACAGTTTTGCCATTGAATCACTGCCTTCTATCACTGATAGAAGTTGCAGCCAGTAGCAATATCTCCTACCACAGTTAAGTTATGTTATGTTATGTTACCCAGACCCACCCCAAAGACAGAAATCTTTACAAAGCACACCTCACCCTAGATCAGATTTCCTAGGATGGGATTAAAGTTTGCTACCCTTTGGCCTGAGTTGCTCCTGACATTCTTGAAAAATACAACCCTTCATATCTGGCAAGATCCCCAATAATACCAACTGGGACCAAACAATGTCCCAGGATCCTCTCCAGAAATATGCAGAATTTGACCCTAACACAAAGTCACAATTCAGGAAGTAAGTATGGAAGAATGAATTAAACAAGGACAAGAATAACATTTTTAAAAAAATATTGTGGATCCAGAAATAACCATGACACAAACTGAAAGAAGAAAATAACTCCACAATGTCTGTAAGCAAAGTTTAAAAGAGAAATATGTATTGATTACAAGGTATGAGATGTTAGGATAATTACCTTTGAATAATGAAAGATCTCATTGAGAAGTTCATCTGATATATAAGGGCTTGATGCAAATGGCACAGTATCATTTATAGAGAATGGCATTTGGAGTACCTATAGGAATTCTTTTTATACTTCCATCTTGTGCTAGATAGCTGTAGATAACATATTTCTCTCCTTGTTTTTTGCCTCCCTCAACAATAACAATAGGATCACTGAAAAGGGAAATTTCTGTGGTTGCCTTTTTCATGCAACTCTATGACCGTACAGATCTCATAATTATAGGACAGTTTTTAGAACTAATTTTTGTTTGTCCCATTAAATCTTCTTTTTTTTTATCAACAAAAATGGCAGCAGTATCCCATGTTCTCTCTACCTTTCACTCAATCGTACAAGACTGGTTCGATATAGAGTCTTTTGAGAGAACCTACATATTCTTTTTCTGTATATCCCAAAGGACATATTTTTAAAATGCTACAAGTAATTCAGTTTTCTCTTTTAGATTGCTTAAGATGATCAGTGTTCTCATCTTCAAAACACAAGGGTTAGAATAGTTCATCTCTAAGGTCCTTTTCAGCTCTAAATCCTATGATCCCATAATCTCTTTAATAGTCAGAGTGCAGCAGTTTCCTGATAAATACCAAAATCCAACTGGATTAAGTCAGAATCAGGGTGGAAATACCCTAGTCATTTATAAGGAGGTGCAGAGGATATAAATAGGACAATAAAGGGTCATTAAGGAAAAGACAATGTGATTATTCTGATTGCAGGTCAATAAATAATCTCCCAACAGGATTAGGTCCAGAACTTGCACTGGAAAATATATAGGATTTGATTGCTGGGTAAGAATTAGGATGATCTTTACAGGTTGCCCACAATAGGAATCCTGCCTTTAAAAAAATTGACAAGTTCCCAGTGTGCCCATTCAGTATTCTGATGGTAAACAAAATAAACCTCCTTGGATACAGCTTATGATGCTGCCAGGTAGCTCTAACTCTCCATAAAAATCTCTTCAAAGATAACAATTTCAAATCTTCCCAAGGAAGTCTGACGTCCTCAAAGGAAAGCATTTAGTGGCTTCACCTTTTGAATTGTAGTGAAAATAAGGTAAAAAAAAATTGCCAGAGAAAGATCTTTGCATGTATTCTTTTAAATTATTGGTTACTCTGCAGCCTCTGTCTCATGCATTTACCTAAACTTTATTAAACTTTACATTTCAATAATGTTATATATCTAGAATGTCACATTTTACCAAAGGCAATCATTTCTATTATCCTATTTTAGTCCCATTAAATTTGCTGTGGTTATCTTCATTGCTTATAGGAAGCAACTGAGGTTCAGAAACTTGTCCAAGTTCACCCATCTGAAAAGGGGCAAAGTTGGAATTAGAATAAGGAAATACTGGCTTCTAGTCCAATGATTTTCCTACTACTTTATGTGGTTTCTTTCTTAAGGTAAATCATTTGAATTTGAGTTGAGTTGATTATGCCTTTCATGTGATTACCTTAAAAACACATTTGTGAGCATGGTTTATGAATACATCAGGATACCCATGATGAACCTATGAGAAGGGAATGAACAAGACATTCTATAGTTTTCTATAGCAGACTACACCTTCACACTCAAACTAAGAGGTGTCAAGAATATAGAATCCTGCTATGTTTATTGTTTGTTGATTGCAAGAAAGCATTTGGTTAAATGAAGCAAAACACAGCCTTAATGGCTAGTCTAACAATGGGTCTTCTGTGAATATGTTAAAATCCTACAGATTCCATGATATTAATATACCTACAAAAATAATTTTATTTATTATGTTCTTATAAATACCTCACAAGCCATTTGCTATTGTCATGGAGAATATCCTGCACATTGCCCAAATGAAAAAATACCAGTTGATGGAGAGGTTTTGTGGATAATGTTGTACCAATTACACCTGCCCCAGGACATAATAAGGCCTCCTCAATAACTAATGAAGGGATAAATCAATTAATAAGAAATTATTGAGTGCTAATATATGTTAAGATCTATGATAGGCTCTGGAAATGTAAATTTTTAAAATGAAGAAGCTCCTGCTCTCAAAGAGCTTACATCCTAAAGATTAAGTTCTAATCCTAATGACAATAGGGAGTCACAGGAGTTTACTGGGTAGGGGACAGACATGGTCAGATCTGAGCTTAGGGAAAATTACTTTGGTAGCTGAGTTTAAGATGAATGGATGGTGGAGAGAAATGATGTGCGGCCACTCAGAAAGGGATTTTTATCAATCTAGAGAAGAAAATCAATGGATGAAGAATATATAAGGTCCAGATTCTGACTCTTAAGAGATGTGAGTAAACTAATTTAAACAATATAAATGGTTGCTGTTAACAAAATTTAGAAAGAGGGATTTGCCTAGGACTGGACACCACTGCAGTTCATTTTAGTTCATAAACAGAACGCTGAAAAAGGGAAGTGGCAGAATGAGTCAGAACTTTCATTGGTAGTGGGAGACCCAATAACCCTGCCATTAAGTTAGAGTGGAATTTGTGCAAAATAAAATTTACTATTCCCTTACTGATTCACCTTCAGAAAGGGTCTAGCTCATGAAAGATGCTGTACATAACCTCATTCACTGCTTTCTAACCTTGGGAATAATTTCTCTTTTGCAGAGTGCAGGCAGGTCAATTAGATACAACTAAAGCTACAACGTGGTTTTCATGGCAATAGTTCCAAACACACAAGTGGACTTAGGAAAAAAAAAAAAGCAGACCAACTCCATCTTTGCTCTAACTTCTCAACATGTACAAATTGATAAGCGTAATGCCCCATGTTTTTAACCAGAATTTATATGCAACCAAACTTAATGGCAGTACTCAAACATTTTAAATTTTTCTCCTGACAAATCAGTCATTTTAGAAACTGTGGCTAATTGCCCAGCTTTCTACAGAATGGTCCAATATTTGTTTTGTGTCTGACCTAGAGTCATAGAGTCATTGTAAGTGGTAGAGGATAAGTAATACTCAGGAAGTTGTGAACACAGCCTTTGTTAAACATATTCGATTTTAACCCTTAGTCTTCTTCCTGATCCTATGAAGTTTATAGACTTCATTTAGGTTCTACCATGAAGCCTTCTCACTCTTGCCTCTGAATTTCTTTAGATTTTTCAATTTGCACTACACAATTTTATTATTCTTATTGTTGAATAATTTTTCAGTTGTGCCTGACTCTTCATGACCCCATTTGGAGTTTTCTTGGCAAAGATACTGGAGTGATTTGCCATTTCCTTCTCCAGCTCATTTTACAGATGAGGAAACTGAGGTAAAAAGGGTTAAATTAGTTGCCCAAGGTCACACAGGTAATAAGTATCTGAGGCCAGACTTGAACTCAGAAAGATGAGTTTTCCTGACTTCAGGCCGTATACTCTATCTTCTGTGCCACCTAGTTGACCTTGCCCAGAGTTGTTCAGTCACTTTTCAGTCAGGTCCAACTCTTCATGATCCCATTTGTAGTTTTCTACAATTTTAATTGCAGTACCATTACAAAGGAGCTTCTTGAGGTCCAGAACTGGCTTGCTTTAATACTAGCATAGTGTCTGGCACACAGATGTCCTTCATTAATGCTTTATTTTTTTGGTCTTGGATGTACAGACAGTGTGCCATAACCAAGAGAGTGTGGAGTCTATTTTCAGGAAAACATAAGTTTAAATCTCATCTCGGACACATTGTAAATCACTTTGTCTTATGTACCCTAAGGCATTTGAAGTGACTAATCTACCAAATCACAGAATTAAGTTTACTTAGATAGTGGGAGTTTGAGCCCCAGAAATTCCCCCAAATTTCTAATAATAATAATAAGAAGAAGAATAATAGCTAATTTATATAATGTTTACTATGTGTCAGGTACCACACAAAGTATTTCATAATTATTATTTCATTTGTGCTTCACAACAACCCTAAGGAAGTAAGTGTTATTTTTATCCCCAGTTTACAGACCAGGAAACTGAGACAGACAGAGGTCACACAGCTACTAAATGTCTGAAGCTGGATTTTAATTCAAGTTTTCCGGACTTGAGGCCTGGTACTCTACCCATTCTGTTACCTTGCTGCCTCCTTCATGAACTTCCATATTATCATGTATAAAATTTTATAGTTGAAATTTTTTTTTATAGATCATCTGACTCAATTCCCTTTTGCAGAAGAGAAAAGAAAGAACTAGACAGGTAAAGTGTCTTGTAGAAGTTCACATAGATGATTCCTGACCCAGTGAAGACTGTAAATAAGATCTTCTGAACACTGATTTTACTCCTTAGATGAGTCTTTTGGATCTTGCTTCCAGGTAACTTATTTGTAGATATGTGATATATATGTATATATAAAATGTGTGCGTGTGTGTGTGTGTGTGTGCATATGCATATACATATACAAAATAAGGATATGAAATAGACAATGGTATCAGCGGTTGACAATAAAATTCTTTAATGATAGCTTAAGCATTAAATTATTGCCCAATTCTGTTACAAATATATATTTTTCTATGTGATAACAAGCATCTGCATGTTTGAAGTCTTACAGGTTTGTTTCTGTAGCTATTTGAAACTATCAAGATAATGTATGTGATCTTGGTGCTCATCCAGCAAATAACATCAGGCCATGATCATTTCTGCCTAAGCTCAATGTGCTACTGCATTTTATCAACTTATTATCAAATTGTTTTCAAACTATCACAAAGTTCAATATTCAAATGCAAACTGATTGCCAGCAGATGGTCTGACACCTATGCATGCCTTTATTTGTGTTCTGTGTACTTGTACCTGAGAGGCTCTCTGCTATGTAATCACATAATCAGGCTCCAACAAATATCTGAATTCTTGCAGGGCAACTAGCAGGCTCTTAGAAAACCATGGTCTTTGGGCTTGTGCATTTCTAGACATCTTGAAATCATAATGGTCCTCCACAAACTTTCTCTAGAAACAAATGCTATATTGCCTCACATTCAAGTATTAAGGTTATTTTCCAATTTAAAGTGATCCTCTACTTAAGTTTTTATTCTTCTGTTTGGCAGATTTTCAAATGATGTAAACGACAACCCTAATCAGTCAGCAGAATTTCTTTGAGAGTATAGCTGTTACATGAGAGCTAGGAAAAAAAAGTCATTTATGAAGAGATACTTTCCATACAAAGGTTAGTTATATTTAAAATTGTAAAATTTAAACAAGATGTGCAACTGAATTTTAAGTACATTTATCATTAAATAAAGTACTTATTAGAAAAGTATCTCATATTTTGACTAGCTAATAATTTTCATCAATCGATTAGGTGGCTATAATTTTTTTAAAAGAATTTCCATATTTCAAAAAGAAAACATAAAATTCTTCTACCATTTTCTATCAAATATTTGTATGAGCATTTTTACTTTGTTCTTGTTTTAAAACAAATTACAGAAATAAACTTCATGTGAAACCAAATTTAAGACTATATTTGTCTGGTGGTAAGCCAAACATTGCAAAACTTTGTTCAAATAATAAATTTCCACACCTACATCAAGTTCATATGAGACTATTATACTATGCTAAACATCTTCCAAGTTCTAACTTATTTCATTAAAATGTTAGTTATATTCAACAACATTTGCAAAATAAAGAAATTCAATATGAAGTTTGTGCATATAATGGTAAGCATATGAGGTCTTGCTGGATTTATTTTAATTCTTAGAGAATGTCCCACACAAAATAGTCATAACTGTTTTACAATTAGAGTTTTGTAATTCCATTTTTATAGTTTTCATAATAATATCAACATAAACTTTTATATTTTATCTTTACAATTACATATGTAAATTTTAATTTGGAGCTTTGGGGGCAAAAGTAATTGTTGTTATTTTAAGTAATTAATGAATAAATCTAACAATATCACGAATAGTATATTTAATTACCTTGGGGGTTCACAACACTTTTTGTTTTTGCTCTTGTTGAAAGAGGTACTCAGTAAAGTACATTGGGAATCACTGATACAGAGAACTCTTGAGAAGAAAATCTATCTACCAATGCAGGATCCTTTTCTGAAATCTATAGTATTGGAGAGTTGCCTACAGTAGAGCTGTCAAACACAAAATAAATAATAATGCAACAACACATAGATAATAATCCATTTTGAAACTAAGTCAATATGTCATCCACCAGGGTCCTTATCAGTATGGTTTATTGGCCCCCAACTTCTATTTGAGTTTGACACCACTATCACTGAGAAGTTAAGCTATTTGTCCAGGCTCACATAAGGCCAGATTTGTATCCAGTACATAACACTAATGGCATATCTAATTAGGTTTACTGCAGGCAGTGTGCTCATATACATAGACATTTTACCTGCCTGGAATTCACTAATCTAATAAATTCCATTATCTAGAGCACAAACAAAATCTCTGAAGAAAGAGAATAAGGAGCAACCAACAGAACCTACTTATTCTTAATATATAAATGAGTAAGTTTGGTGATGTATTTTGTTATTTTTTTCCTCACCCACAACAAAGTAGAAACAGTAAAACAGCAATAGAGATAGCTAAATATAAATACATTGACAACAGAGATAAGTGCATTTGAGAGCCTGCTGTGAGAAAGAGACAGAAAAACTATGTGGAACAGACAAAAGATCTCAAGTTGCACAGAATTCTGGGACTATTTTGCATCAGGACAAATCATGCACTTTAGTAGGCATTTACAGAGAACCTTCACTGTAATATGGAATAGGAAAAAATGGCTGATATGCATGAAGAAGACCCTGAGATAGCAAGAAGAGTACAGCAATTATACTCTGCACAAGCTGTTTAAAGAACCAGGGAAGTCTCTGGTAAATTTTGTAAGCATCTTTATCTGAAATGACTAAAATGGTTAGTAATAGATTGGTAAAAAGCTTTAGTTAAGTGGAAAATCTACTTATGTGGGATATTTAATTCTACTATCACATTGAATAACTAAGACATATTGTATTAGTTTTCAACTTCACCTGGAAAGTAGATTTGGTAGCAAGGAATGTGCCACTGGTAACATATGTAAAGCAAGCCTCTAACTTACCACCAGGAGGGAATTTTTTCTTTTATTTTTCTTCTTTTTTTGGGGGGTGGGTGGGGGAGTGGGTCTTTCCACACCTTTGGAGAAGAGATGGATTTGCATTTTCTTGCTTACATAACTTTGCACAGTCTCTATTGTGACCAAGATGTTTGGTGATTCTAGGTAAGTCATTTAACCTCTATGGGCTTCTCAGTCTTTAAATGCATAAAATTACAATACTGTTTATTCAACATATTTCATAGGGTTCTTGTAGGAATGCAAAGAAATGATGTGTTATATTGGTTTATGTGAGGTCTGCCCTATCCAAAACCTCAGACATACTGAGGTCTATAGAAATTCAAGACAAAGAGTTATAGCTAGACAAAACTGAATTGACAAAAATGGAATCCATTTCTTCCTGAATCACACTCTATTCATTATCCCACACTGTGTATAAGAGAAAAGAAAAAAAAATATTATCTCTATTATTATCAGTGGAACAGCTCTTGTCCTTCTTTCTTGTAGATGAATCATCATCTTGGAGAATCTGGAGCACAGAAGTCAAATTTAAATAACAAATAGACTCAGAAAGACAGGTAAAACAAGAGCAAAAATTCACATTGGAGTGCAGGAAACGCTGTTTTGGGAAAACAAGTTTATAAGCAAAGAACAAATGAAAAGTTCCTCCTTTTCCTTCTACTACAAATCACCATTTTGCTTTTCTTTTTACTTTTTAAAAACATTTCTAACATTTTTATTTAAAGTTTTCAGTTCCAAATTCTGTTCCACTCCCCTCACTTCCCTCTTCCCTCACTGACTAAGCAATCAGATACAGGTCATATACATGCAATTATGAAAACATTTGCATACTAGTCATTTTATACAAGAAGACTCAAAAGAAAAAAATGAAAAAAAAGAAAGTAAAAATGGAATGCTTCAGTCTGTATTTGATCAATATCAGTTTTTTTCTATGGAGGCAGATAGTATGCTTTATCATTAGTCCTTTGGGATTGTCTTGGATCATTGTATTCCTGAGAATAGCTAAGTCATTCACAATTCTTCGTTGAACAAGCTGTTACTGTGTGCAACATTTTCCTGCTTCTGTTCACTTCACTTTGCATCAGTTCATGGAAGTCTTTCCAGGCTTTTCTGAAATCTTCCAGCTTGTCATTTCTTATAGCACAATAATATTCCATTACAATCATATATCACAGCTTGTTTAGCCATTCTCAAATTGATGGACATCTCTTTTATTTCTAATTCTTTTTTGTTATCAGCAGTCTTTTTTTTAAATTAATTTATTTTTAGTTTTCAACAATTACTTCTATAAGCTTTTGAGTTTTAAATTTTCTCCCCCTCCCTCTTTTACTTCCCTCCTCAAAATGGCTTGCAATCTGATATAGGCTCTACATATACTTTCCTATTAAGCATATTTTCACATCAGTCATGTTGTAAAGAAGAATTAGAACCAATAGGAGGAACCATCAGAAAGAGGAAACAAAACAGAAGAAAAAAAGAGCAAACAGTATACTTTAATCTGCATTCAGACTCCATAGTTCTTTCTCTGGTTGTGGATAGCATTTTCCATCATCAGACCTTTGGAGATGTCTTAGATCCTTGCATTGATGAGAAGGGCTAAGTGTATCAAAGTTAGTCATCACACCATGTGGCTGTTACTCCTGGTTACTCCTGTTACTCCAGCAACATTCTCCTGGTTCTGCTCACTTCACTCAGTATCAGTCCATACAAGTCTTCCCAGGTTTTTCTGACATCCACTTGCTCATCATTTCTTGTAGAACAATAGTATTTTCCATTACATTCACATACCACGACTTGTTCAGCCATTCCCCAATTAATGGGCATCCCCTCAACTTCGAATTCTTTGCCACCACAGAAAGAGCTGCTATAAATATTTTTGTACATGTGGGTCCTTTTCCCATTTTTTAATGATCTCTTTGGGATAGAGTATGCACATTTTTATAACCCTTGGGGCATAGATCCAAATTGTTCTCCAAAATGTTTGGATCAGTTCACAACTCCACCAATAATGCATTAGTGTTCCAATTTTCCCACATCTTCTCCAAAATTTATCATTTTCCTGTTTTGTCAAGTTGGCCAATCTGATAGGTGTGATGTGGTACCTCGGAGTTGTTTTGATTTGCATTTCTCTAATCAATAGTGATTTAGACTGCCTCTGAAAACTGCCTGTTCATATCCTTTGACCATTTATCAATTGGGGAATGATTTGTATTCTTATAAATTTGACTTAGTTCTCTACATATTTTAGAAATGAGGCTCTTACTAGAGACACTGGTTGTAAATTTTTTTCCCCAGTTTTCTGCTTTCCTCCTAATCTTGGTTGCATTGGCTTTGTTTGTGCATAAACCTTTCAATTTAATGTAATCAAAATTATCCATTTTGCATTTCATAATGTTCTCTATCTCTTGTTTGGTCACAAATTCTTCTGTTATCCATAAATCTGACAAGTAAACTATTCCTTACTCTCCCAGTTTGCTTATAGCATCAGCCTTTATATCTAAATCATGAACCCATTTTACTTTATTTTGGTATATGGTGTAACATTTTGATCTATGCCTACTTTCCAATTTTCCCAGCAGTTCTTGTCAAATAGTGAGTTCTTATCCCAGAAGCTGGGGTCTTTGGGTTCATCAAACAGTAAATTACTATAGTCACTGACTACTGTGTCTTCCATACCTAACCTATTTCACTGATCTACCACCCTATTTCTTAGCCACTACCAGGTAATTTTGATGATTGCTGCTTCATAATACAATTTCAGATCTGGAATGGCTAGGCCACCTTCCCTAACATTTCTTTTCATTAGTTCTCTTGATATTCTGGAACTTTTGTCCTTCCAAATGAATCTTGTTATTATTATTTCTAGCTCTATGAAATTTTTTTTTTGGTAATTTGATTGGTATGACACTGAATAAATAAATTAGCTTAGGTAGAATTGTCACTTTTATTATATTAGCTTGGCCTCCCCATGAGCAACTGATATTTTCCCAATTATTTAGATCTGACTTTATTTGTGTGAAAAGTGTTTTGTAATTGTGTTCATAGAGTTCCTGGGTTTGTTTCGGTAGGTAGATTCCTAAATATTTTATAATGTCTACAGTAACTTTAATTGGAATTTCTCTTTCTATCTCTTGCTGTTGGGCTTTGTTGGCAATATACAGAGATGTCGATGATTTATGTGGATTTATTTTACAGGCTGCAACTTTGCTAAAGTCGTTTATTATTTCAAGTAGTTTTTTACTTGATTTTCTAGGATTCTCTAACTATATCATCAAACCATCTGCAAAGAGTGATAGCTTTATTTCTTCTCTGCCTATTCTAATACTTCCAATTTCTTTTTCTTTTCTTATTGCTAAAGCTAACAGTTATCATAATGTTTATCATAAGCCTATAACAGTTGTATCTTGGATGAAGATTCAATAATTAATGTTGGAGACACTGAAATTTAATTTTTTTTATTTAGGCAAATTCATCTTTGTCTTCACTTATACATCTGTGCTAACGTCAAATACTTTTGCCATTTAAAAGTAACAATGTCATATGTATGTGTGTGTGTGTTTGTGTGTATCTATATATAAATATATCCACAGTTAATTGTGGCCTTTTGGGGATGTGGGAAGTGGGGAAAAGAACAAATAAAAAGTACACAGCAGAAAATAAAAGAAAACTTACAAGGAAGCAAAGAAAAAATGGACAGCTCTCAACACAACATGTAGTATTCATTATACAGGCTTTCTCAAAATGGAAATTTATTGCTGTATATTTTGAATCTTCTCTTACATTCTGCTGTGTGCATGACAATGTTTTTTTTTCCTTTTTATTTTGTATATGTTTCAATATTTAAGTTTACAATGTTTCTTTTTCTTTTCTTATTGTGTATTTAATTTTTGGTATTTAAGTCTAAAATTAAAAAAAAATATAAGAGTCCCTAGACCAGTTTGTGAGATATAGTGATACAAAATATCCTTCCAACTTTGCCTTATGTAAGGAAAAATTTCAAATTTTAGTCAGTTTCCAAGAAGCTGGGGGCAGTGACTGATAGGAAGATAAGAAATTGCCTCTTATCTATATTCACAAATCCATATTTTGTGATTTTGAACATTACAGTTGGTTGAGCGGGCAAAATGGAGAAAAATAAAAAGAAGAAATATGACAACCTATTTTCTTGGGCTAGAATCTCTGGGAAATTTTTATCTTGAAATTCTCCAGAAGTAACATGGTTGAGGAGGTCTGCTTACCCCAAATCCTGGAGAATGTAAGATAACAAACAGCAAGAAAGAAAAAAACATTAGGTTTTCCTATTGCCTAAATGCATGACTTACTTTTTAAATCCCAACTAAAATCCTACCTTACAAAGGAACTCTTTCCTACCCCTCTTCATTCCAGTGCTTGCTTTCTTTTAATTAGTTTCTACTTATCAAGTATATAGCTTACTTTGTATGTATTTGTTTGCATGTTGTCTCTCCTCTTAGATGGTAAGCTCCTTGAGGGCAGGAACTGTCTTGTTCCTCTTTTTTGGATTACCAGCATTTAGCACAATATCTGGTACATGGTAGGTGCTTAATAAATGTTGATTGAATTGAATTGAATTTTCACTAGCTGTCCCCCCATGTATGGAGTTCTTTCCTTCCCCATCTCATCTCCTGGAGTTCTTGGATTCCTTCAATTCCCTTTTAAAAATCCCACCTTCTATTAAAAGCCATTGTTAAACCTCCTTAATGTTAATACCTTCCCTCTGATGATTATATCCTCTTTATACTGTATGTATCTTGTTTATACACTTAGTGTTTTGCATATTGTCTCCCCCATTAAACACTGAGTTCCTTGAAAACATCAGACTGAGAGTTATTTGACTTTTGTTGTATCTCCAGTGCTTGGCACAGTCCTGACACATAGGAACTTAATACTAACTATATAACTTGTTGACTAAACTTTTTAATTTGCTTGTTGACATCTTCCTTGTTCTTTTTATCTTTTGTACTTTCAATTGCTCCTATAATACTCAGATCATCCTAGTCACCTTTAGAGTTTAAATGTTCTCTAGTTCATCAGTGTTCTTAAAGCAAGGACAATATTCCAGATATTTGACTTTATTTTAAATCAGATATTCTTAACCTGGGGTTTATAAAATTGTTTTCTTTCTAATATTTTGATAAGTATATTTGAAAATATTTGGATTTATTTGTAATCATAAGTATTTTAATGATTTACAAACAATATTCTGAGAAAGAATCCATAGGCTTCACCAGACTGCCTAACAGGTATGTAGCAGAGGAAGTATTAGAAGAGGAGAAAGATGCAACCTAGCAGAGATGAAACCTTTGAAACCAAGATCTTTATAAAGGGTTCTCTTTTAATTTCCTGATGGAGGAAGAAAGAATAAGAAGCTTTTCAAGGTGGGTTTAACTCTGTCTTTGAAACCCCACCTGCTGTAAATGTAGCAACTTGCCACATTGGGAAGATTTTGACACAAATAAGGAAGACAACAATAGAGAAGTGTTGGGAGGCTACATGGTATTGTGTAAAGAACACAATATTGTTGTTTGGATGAGGGAGAAGATTTAGTGTCAAAGAACATGGATTTGGGTTGGAGCTGTGTGACCTTGGGCAAGGGGTTCAGCCTCTCTAAGGCTCAGTTTCCTCATTTGTAAA